GCCAAAAATATACCAAAAAAGCGACCAACTTTGGTGTCCAGTTGGTCGCTATTCACTTAAAAAAAATCTGGTAATTTTGCGACCAAGGTTGGTCGCTTATAGTTAAAAAAAAAAAATTTAATTCTTTCCATTGGCGACCAATATTGGTCGCCCAATAAATAAAAAATTATAACATTTATTAATATAGCGACCAAAGTTGGTCGCTTAATATGATTAAAAATAAATAAAAATAAAATGTTATTTACATCTGGAGACCAACTTTGGTTGCCAAATATATAATATTAAAATATTTGAGCGACCAAAGTTGGTCGCTATATGCTTTGCCCGGAAAATTTGGTCATTTTACCTGAGAGACCAATGTTGGCCGCTATTTAGCGACCAACTTTGGTCCCTAAGGTAAAGAGACCGGCTTAATATCGACCAGGCGTGGTTGGTCGCTTTTTGGTCGCTTTTTGGCCAATAAGCGACCAACATTGGTCGCTTTTGCTGGTCGCTTTTTTCCGATATTCTAGTAGTGTTTATTTCTCGAAATCCGTATAGGTGTTGGACTTATGGAGTATACGGCATCTGCGCCCAAAAGGAAAAACTTATAGTGCTATAGTGTAGCCTTTATTTAATTCACTTGTGTTTTGTGTAAGTGGGCTCCTTTTGTAATTACTGAACTAGCCCACTTTATGTTACTTGTGTTTGACTTGTATTTGGGCCGTATATAAGCAGAAGGAAACACCCGAATCAGCCCATCGGGATTATTTCATCAGAAATCAGATCTAGAACCTTCATCTCTTCTCTCTTCTCTTTCATGAGCCCTATCACTAAATTCTGATATCTAGATCGATTTCCTCATGTTTTCATGGTATCAGAGCAGGATTCCGATCAATCTCATCTTCCTCTATCTTCTGATGCTACCCTCATCGAACTTTGTTGAGGATTTCAATCTCATGAAGGTACTGATTTCGTCTTCTACATACCGATTTTGACGGATTTCTGGTTGATTCTAACTTCTCTCGGTGTTTTCTGAGCCGTATTTGCTGCTTGAGTGACTGTGGAAGATTATCTACAAGCTCCTCTAGTTGTTGTCAAACTCAAGGATTCTAGGGTTTTACGACTTATTTCATCATTGTTGCTGCGTTGCTGAGAAGTGTTGTTTGAAGGCCGTACTTCCGGTCGCGAAGAAATCGGTAACTCTGTATCTGTTTCCTTCTGTATAGTATTCATCAGATAATTGTCGATTGTTGAATGTTATAGTAACAATGGGATCTACTGATGTTAATGCTACTGATATTAATGCGTCTGGCACACGTGAGTTTATTCCCAAACCCTCCATTCCTCTATTTGTTCAGTCATCAGATGTTCCTGGTGTTTCTCTTGTACCAGTTCCTTTTTCTGGGACAAACTTTGGGGGTTGGAAGAGAAGCATCATTGTTTCCCTGTCTGCTAGAAATAAGATTGCGTTTGTCGATGGCAGTTTACCTAAACCTCCAGATAACTCAATAGAGTCTAATCAATGGAATAGATGTAATAACATGGTAATTTCATGGTTAAAAAGTTCTTTATCTCCCGACATTGCGGATAGTGTCCAGTATTCTGAAACAGCTGAAGAAATATGGAGACAGTTAAATAAAAGATATGGAACAGTAGGTGGAACTAAAGCATTTGAAATTAAGAAAGAACTTGCCTCTACCTGTCAAGGATCCCTAGATATTGCATCATATTTTAACTAGTTAAAGAAATTATGGGATGAATTGAGGGTTGTTCGTAAAAACCATGGAAATCACTGCACTTGTGGTGCAAAAGAAGGTATTCTCAAAGAGGAGGAAGAGNAAATGTCGGCTTTAATAGTTAAATTGTTAAACAGATTTAACTTATATGCATTCTCTGTTTTAAAAGGCAGAATTGAACTCGCCCCGGGCGAGCACTCGTAAACGCCCTGGGTTTATGTCTGGGGCTTAGTTCTTTGAGACTTACGCCTCGGCCATCGGGCCTTTAGCCCCGGACACGCCCAGCGCCCAGCATACTGGGCTCGCCTAATAGAACTTTATGCAATTGTATGTAACTAACCTTGTAAATCCTCAAATTTTCTTAATAAATCGTTGAGTATTCAAAATTATTTTTTTCTTAATCATAAATCATTAAATTGAGAGTATTTTATGCCATAATTAAAATAAAAATTATTGTACGTTTTCCACTAGGATTGTATGACAGTTAATTTTAAATAAATCTTTCATTTAAAAAATATTTATTTATTAACTTTTGTTATGTTTTACTATTTAATAGTCCATAATTTTTTTATAATTATTTTTCTAAATATTGTTTTTTCACGTTTATAAGATACAATACTTATTAATTTAGCTCAGTATTAGCTAGTAACTATTTACAAATAGTTAGTTATCATGATATTGTTGAATTATGTCACTTTATTAACTTGTTGAAACTTAAAAATAAATGATGCTAGAGAATCATATTGAAATTGTGAATTATGTTTTTATATTATTCTCTTTTAAATAGAAAGCATATTAAATAAAAGGAGTATTTTAAGGAAAATTATAAAATTATACTATCCAAATTCTTTCAAGATTCATTACTCCTTAAGAGATACATATAAGATTTCATATCGAATACATTACTTTTGATGTTTGAGTTGTAATGACGTTGCAATTAATTTGCATATTATGATATATGTCATACTTTTCGTATTATTCATAGTTGAATTATACTTTCTAAATATTTTAAATAGATTATTTGCTATAATTTTGTGATTTTAATGTAATTTTTATAATTATTTTTTATTTTATACTATTTTAAAATTTTTTAAAATAGTAAAATTTAAAGATCCGTGGGACTTACGCCCCATGTCTCAGGGCTTACGCCTCGCCTCGTCAGAGGTAAAACGCTTCGCCTCACGTTCCTGCCTTTTAAAACATTGGTATATACCGAGTTGATACCTAACATGTACACTAGGAGAGCAGTGAATTCGCTTGTCACCAGAACCAAAAAATTTATAGTGATCTGTACAACTTGGTTGAGGGTACTAGTAGGAATTCTTTTAGAGTAATCAATAAGTAGTAGTACAAATGCCTGCATATTTGTGCTGATATAAGAAATGCATCGTATCAAAATTTAGAGGCCAAATATGTCAGCCAACAACTGTCAATAGACAGTAATTGGGGCTACCTGATTTTGATACAAAATGCATACCTTGCATTAGACAAAGATTTAGCTGGCACCACTTGGCTTTTAAACTTTCCAACCTCAATTTGAAAATCCCATCTAATAGAAACACAAACAGCTGCGGCTCTGCATGTCATAATTTTTTTTCGGTTTCGAGAACATTTACATTAGTCGTACATAGTTCGAGTTGGTTCGGATTTTACAATATACCCAACCAGACTAATTGTGTCGGGTTATTAAATCTAAAGACCAAACGAAACCAATAAAACTCTGGTTTTTCACTCTTGGTTTTCTCGGGTTTTCGGGTTATTCGGGTTTTTTCGGATTTTTTCCAGTAAAATCTTCGTAGAACAAAACGTATAAATTGTGCTCAAAATATTTCTTTAATCCTAGTAAGATACAACTATATAACGTATTTTCTAAGAAAATAATACAAAATATGAGATGTGTCATGGCATTATCCTAAAATATTCAACTATTGCTAATTAAAAAGCCATAATAAAAATAAACATAATCTAAAAGTACTAAGTCATGCTAAAATAAGTAGACTAATAAGGGAATATTAATTACATGATTAAACGCTAAAGAAAAAACAAAAATAGGTTATGCATTTTTATCTAAATTATTACAAAATAAAAAATAGATATTTAATACATTCTCGTTCGTAGTATTATATTTAATGTCTTTTGTTAGCATTAATATTGATTTGATTTTGGTTTGGGCTTTTGCTAGTATTATTTAATTTACTAATGTTAATGGCTATAAAACTTATTCAAAAGTTTTAAGTCCAACCTTGAAATAATACCTTAAAAGATAAAATTATGAAATTTTTTAAGAAATATTTATAAGTTACATCACAATAAGTATATTTATATTAAATATATCTAAATTTCTATATATGTAATGTCGGGTTGGTTTGGTTCGGTTTGACTTTCTTTAGTTAAAACCAAACCAAACCAATTATGGTCGGGTTTTTTTTTCCAACACCTAACTATAGTCGGGTTTTTTTTCTCGGTTTGACTCGGATTATCGGGTTGGTACGATTTGTCGGTTTCCTTTGTACACCTCTAATTTACACAGTCATTTTTACCTTGACCTGCAAAGCTATTTCAACTCTAGAGACATAAATCATGAGTGAGAGATTCATTTTCACTTGTTTTTATAATAACATAATATTGAAAATAAAAATAAAAAGGTAGAAGTTGTTTTTGAATTAGTTCTTATTTCTTTTCCATCACGCTCTCTGCGCTAATCTGGAAGGATTAATATACCGTACTGGTTCATCACTTGCTTTTAATGAGTATTAGTTCTATACACTTGCGATGAAAAAAATTACACAATTAAATCATTTAAAAGATAATGCAGATAACTTTATTGTATTGTATAATATTGAGTGGTAACCCAAAATAATGATAAATTAAATAACATGTTAAATCACATTGATAATATAAAAATTTAACTTAAATTCATATTTAATCAAGGTACAAATTTTGCTTAATACCCTTACCAGATACGTAAGATTATGATATATTACTCATAATATATGATTAAAGAAGTAGAAATGAAGGAAATGATTGGAAGCGAAATGCTGGGCAGGAGGCAGGTTGACTCCTGCTGGGTACAGGCGTGTCTTCCACGAGTTCACACCGCCCACTGTACAAACAACTAACACTAAGCCCTTGGCGTTTTATTTAGGACAACGTGGGTCCAGCTTATTCGCTTAAACCGCGTTACTTTGAGTAAACTCTCATTTCCCAACTTTTAACTTGTACTGCTTGCTTCCCTCTTTATATATAGATACTAGATAGCTTCCCCTCTCCCTCTACCAAACATAAACCCATTCTAAAAGCACTTTAATCATAAAGACCATATATAAGAACAAAAAGCGAAGCTCTTTCTTATTTTTGGCTCCCGCTGCCATCTTCTTTTATTTCGATTGTTGCTATCTACTTACTGCTTTTACACTAACCATGCAAGAAAAAACAAGAATGCAGAAGAAGAGATCATCTGTGGTTGGTCGTAGAGCTTGGAACATTCTTCGCGTGGCCTTGTTATGGGCAAGAAAAGGTGGCATTTTCAAGAACAGACACCTTACGGCCGATCTCCGTTTGCTTCCCAAATATATTAAAAGTCTCCGACATAGCAACGACTATGGGTACGGTAGTGCACTACATTATGGGGAGCGTGAGCTTTCCTTTGATGACACCCCTATCATTCATGTTAAGATGCATCGTCCTGCTTCCTTGCGTTTCAAGATGCCTAACATCCCCTGTATCAAACCTCAAGTCGATTTTGACTTTGACTTTGAAAATGATCGTGAAGATCATGAAATGTACAATGGTAATGATGATAATGTTCCTAGGGAAAGTTTCTTCAAGTGTACGGATGATGAAAATGAAGAGGATGCATATGCAAGCTGCGAGGTCTCTGAGGAGATTAGTTGTCCCGGTGATGAAGCTATTGATATGAAGGCTGAGGAATTTATTGCAAAATTCTATGAACAAATAAAGCTGCAAAGACAAATATCATTTTTACAATACCATGAGACGAAGCTCGCTAACTAAATTAAAGGTGCAAATTCATGACAGAGACTTGCAGGCGCTTTCCGCTCACCAATTTTCATTAATTCTTTTTGGATGTCATTATTCTTGTTTCAATTTCATACTGGCTAGTAGTATTCTTTCTGTATAGGATGCGTTACATTCCGGATTATTTGTACATAGAAGAGGTATTCAGTGTTTACTCCACACTGCAAAATGAGAGCTCAAACTTCTTTTATCTAAAATAATTCTGCATCAAAATGTGTACACTTCTTGAACCGGTAAAACAAATGTACGTTGACGAGAAATAAAGGAATGAGATTAGATTTTTCTTATGAGAACTAAATACAATCCAGGCATGAGACACCAGCCAATCTCGACACCAATTTAACTCAATGGGCTTGTTTCAGTGGATATTTATTGTACTCCTACTATTTATTTATTAAATTCATGCGTGACTGAACTTTGTAATTTGAAAGTTCAAACTTTAATTTTGCTTCTGTTCAATAAAACGGACATGAGTTCCAGATTCAGGGAGTAACCTGGCTGTAATTTTGTTAGAAGAAACACCTAAAGAGGGTTTTTTTTTTTTTTGGCCTTACAATTTACAAGGGCTTCAATTTTATCCTTGAGAAGAAATGTATATGTTTCACATTTATGAAATCTGCAGGCAGTAGTGCAATTTATCTACATGATGTATCCCTGGGATCATATTCAAAAGAAAAATATTTCTACCTTTTTATGGAACATATTAGATTTACATTTCGACTCTAAAATGGAAATAAATTAAATTCAAACACTTGTAAAAATCTCTATGCTCAATATGTGCCAATTTTTGGTTATGCTTTTAATCATTTCTAGACTAGTATGGGTATAATGTTCCTTCAATCATGGTAAGGTTTTAGATGAATCCAAGATGGCTAAGCTGACAAAATGAGGAAACAATCGAAGAACCAGCTGCTGCAAGCTACCCAATGGGCGCCTACATTCAAATTAAGGAAAAACCAACAGAAATGCTCATGCAGTAAAAAGTAATTATTTGAAAATATCTATTAAGAAAAGATAGTACTTACTAAAATTCATATTTATTTAGGTAAAATTATTTATGAAATATTCAGCAAATGAGTACGTTGCGTAATTCCAATTTCCAAGTGCTACTCATGACTTATGTTAGTATATAGTGTTTGTTCGTTTTTGTTTTATCTTGGTAATCTGTACTTCTGGGAAGCTTCACTCTACCCCTTAGATTCTTTATATAAACACCTCTCATTTTCTGATCAATCAATAGCCGCAAAGCATTCCTAATCCTACTACACGACAAGAATACCAGCATGTAGTTGAACAGTAGGCAAACCAAATATACTTACAGCTTGTTTGGGTGGTTGTCACCTATCATTTCATAATGTATCGTATCGTATTTTATTATATTATATTGTATCGTCTGATTAATACAATTTTTAGATAGAATGTATCGTTTGTCGTCGTATTATGATATAATGTACTGACAATATGAAGAATAAAATTGCAATATCATAAAGGAAAATTATAATACAGGGTAGAATTAATATATAAAAAGGTACGGTAATGGATAAACTAAAATTATTTAATTTTAAATAATAAAGGGCGAGATAAAATAAAAAAGACAAGGTGATGATGCGGCCACACCAAATCGGTCGTTATATAAAGTGACAGATTTCGTCGTTACGTAACAACGGATTTAACGATATAATACAATAAAATTTAAGTAACAATCAAAACAAACATCATATTTAAAGTAACAATACAATACAACACAATCGGTAACAAAACAAGCCGTTAGAAAAGATTAGAAAATATTTGAGCTCCCTTTTGGACATATTTTTTTAAAAAATATTGTTTGTTCATAAAATTTGATTAGTTTTTAAATGTATTTTAAAGAAAACATTTTAAGTTCCAAAACTAGTGTGGGCTAGTTTATGGGTGAAATATTTTTTTCACTCACTAAATTTCAGCTTTCTTTCACGTAAATGCATGTTCAAACTTCTAACATTTATTTTTTCAAGTTTCAATTAAATATATCTATGTGCAAAAGCTAGCTAAGCATGTGTTTTCTAAAATATCTCTTCTCAAAGGATTTATAACATTATATGCACTAACATTGAAAATATATTTTTACTTTATCAGTAAATTTTAACATGTGATAGTAGGTTAGTTACTATTTTTATTAGATTATCAACTATTGTTTATTAATTAGTAATATGATTGTATAAATATTTTATTAGTACATAATCTTAAACTCTTTTTCAAAATAAACACATTGTTGTGTCGGACGATAATTAGTAATGGTATTGTTTCTTGGAGGAGAGAACTTTACTGGGCTGTCTTGCTGTTTAAACTTTAAAGAACAAAATGTCTATGGTGAAAGAAAAGTTTCAACTAAATCAAACCTAACAAATGCTTTAAAAGTCACATGATCTTCAATCCTGGGTCCTAAAGTCAATCATTCCCTTTGATTTACAGACAACAATGCCCAAAATGATCTCTCCAGAAATAGTTTAATGTATCTGTTTACAATTTGAATAAAGGAAATGACCTTACAAAGATTTCTTCTAAGTCATTTTTTCTGTTTTATTTTCATTTTTTGATTTCTTAAAACTTAAAAAACAAATTATGATGGGCCACAAAGCCAATTGACGTGATTTTTGTTGTGATATTTCCAAAAAGTGGACAAATGTCCATCCATGTGGTAAGATGCACGCAAGTTTTGACAATTATACTTGACAAATGGCAAGAAACTTAACAAATGGCAAGAAAAGCCTTAAGCTTTTCGCCTCTAAAAGTGACTTCCCTTAAGCCAATTTGACATAACAGAGTCATCATTCTCTTTCAATTCCTTTCACGCCTCTCTTCTTCCTTTGTTGTCCAATATTAAATATTAGTTATTTTCTTTCTTATTTACTTTTATTACTAGCTAACTGGGTTTGTACTTTATTATTTTGATGATTCCTGTTTCCTCCCTAATAGAGGTAGGCTTGTTTAATCCTGGAGAGACATTTCACACCGCTGAAATAGTTTCTTAGGACGGTGCCTAGCACGCATCAAGTCAATCTGTGTATCCGCTTACAAATAATATTGAAGCAGTGTTATTATTGAAATTCTTGCTCTCAATTACTACAATCTAAGAAACTATGGCAAATAACACTGATGCTGAAAATACTACCGATACCGCCAATATTAGCGCTACGTCCATTGCTCCAGCCCCAGTTGCACTGCCATATGCCAGGCCATTTCCAGATGTGTCAAATATTGGAATTTTCACCAACGAAAATTTCAAGCGTTGGCAAGAACGTATTTTCTCATTGCTTGATGTCCATGGTGTTGCACATGCACTGCTGCATCAACAACCTAGCCCAGACACTGATAATAAAATAGTGGAATCATGGCAATATGCCAACAAGGTATGCCGTCATACTATATTGCAAACTATTTCTAATGAACTGTTTGACATGTATTGCAGCTATAAAAAAGTAAAAGCTATATGGGAAGCCTTAATTAAAAAATTCACCGCTGAAGATGCTACAAAATAAAAAATTGTAGTAGGAAAATTTTATCAGTGGCAGATGAGAGATGATAAAGAGATGAACGTACAAACCAACGAATTTCAAAAATTGTTAGAAGACTTGAAGGCCGAGGGGATGTCTTTACCAGAAAAGTTTGCTGCTTGAGTGCTAATTGAGAAGCTGCCTGACTCATGGAGTGACCACAAAAACAACTTAAAGCACAAACAAAAAAATTTTACCATTCAGAAAATTGTGACCCACATCTTAATTGAAGATTCCAACAGAAAAGAATCTGCCAAAGCTAGGATGACAGCTCTTAAAGCAAACTTAGTGCAAAGCAGCAACAATAACCGCAAAAGGTACGAGAATAAGTCTTAAGGTTGCAAGCCTAAAAATCCTAACCTTAAAAGGGAAAAGGGCTCTTGTTTTGTTTGTGGAAAACCAGGCCATCATGCCTCACATTGCAGGTACAGAGCAAGAAATGACAAAGAAAAAACCGGTACTCCTAAGGCTAACTTAGCTGAAGGAGGTGATACTATTGCAGCTGTCATTTCTCAAGTAAACATCGTAACACATGCAAAAGAATGGGTGATAGACTTTGGGGCTACTCGGCACATTTGTGCAAATCGAGAAGCATTTTTCTCTTATACTCCTGTAGAGGATGATAGAGAAGAGGTCTACCTTGGAGACTCAAGTACTACCAAAGTCTTGGGTAAGGGTAAAGTTCTCCTGAAACTCACTTCGGGAAAAACTTTAGCCCTTGTTGATGTACTGCATGTTCCTACTATGAGGGAAAACTTGATCTCTGTATCCTTGTTGGCAAGAGCAGGAGTAAAAGTGTCATTTGAATCTGATAAGATCATAATGACCAAAAATAATGTGTTTGTGGGAAAGGGCTATTGTAACCAAGGGCTCTTTGTACTTAATATTTCTGGTGTTATCATTAGAAATGCATCTGCTTCTGCTTATATGGTTGAGTCTATTTCTTTATGGCATGCTAGACTAGGTCATGTTAATTTCACATATATAAGGAAAATGCAGTCACTAGGCTTAATATCTGGTTCAGACTCAAATAATATTAATAAATGTGAAATATGTGCTTAAGCTAAAAGTACTAAAAAGACTTATTTTTCTGTAAATCGAGAAACTGAATTATTATCTTTATTTCATACTGATTTTGGCGATTTAAAGCAGACGATGACTAGAGGTGGTAAAAGATATTATGTGACTTTTATTGATGATTTTTCTAGATATACTAAGTTGTATCTGCATAGAAATAAAGAAGATGCTTTTAATGCTTTTATTTCTTATAAAACTGAGGTTGAAAATCAACTTAGTAGAAAAATCAAGAGAATTAAATATGATAGAGGTGGAAAATATTTATCATTAAATAATTTTTGTGAAAAAAATAGAATTATTCATGAAGTAACTAAGCCTTATTCACCCTAGTCAAATGGAGTAGCCGAAAGAAAAAATAGAACATTAAAGGAGATGATGAACTCTATGTTAGTTAGTTCTAATGCTCCTGATAAATTATGGGGTGAGCTATATTATCTGCATGTCACTTACAAAATAGAATACAACATAGAAGGAAAAAAACTCCGTATGAATTGTGGAGGGGTTATAACCTAACTTGAAATATTTAAAAGTATGGGGATGCCTTGCTAAATTTCTCTTGCCTGAACCTAAAAAGAGAAAAATAGGTTCTAAAGCTGCTGATTGCATGCTTACTGGATATGCTGAACATAGTGTTGCATATAGATTTCTTGTTTTAAAAAGTGATGTGCTTGATTGCAATACTATAATT